ATGAAATAATTGCAGAAGAAAAACTATATTGACTGTCTCTGTTTAGTACCTGGCGGTTTATGTATGTACCTACCTACCTACCTTAGGTACCTAGGTAGGTACTTATATGTTCTCAAGTGCAATTGATTATCAAATTACTAAGCGAATCACGTCATTCGGGAGGACCCCTACAATGCGGGAGACATTCTCCACTTTACAATTCCAGAGGGACGGTCGAAAGATCGACAACCGAAACTTTCATTATTCACTACTAGGTAATATCGCAATCGCTATCTCTAAACCAGCCAGTCACCTTTTTCTTCCCACTTTCACCGTCTCACTTATCGTCTCCTACATCGGAGTTGCACTCAAACAACTTCTGTCAAACTCAACATAAAAAGTGTCTCCTAATTGCAAATTATATTATAAATTTGCCTTTCTAATTCCAGAGCCAGGGATCTCTTTTAGTATCTGGAGGCGAACGGTATAGCTCGCGAAAAGAGTGCGCGGGGTAGCAGCAGCAGCAGCAGCAGCAGCTGTAGGTATAAGCCAGGATGGCAGACGCGGCGCAGGATATCGACACCAAGGGCGGTGCTCTCGATACGGCGAAGGATCTCTTCGCCGGTGCCGTCGGGGGGGTTGCGCAGGTATTAATTGGTAAGGTGATCTCCATTTCTGTTGAATTTGCCGAATAGGACACTCTGTATGAGTGCTTGGCTCCCGAGAGACGAGAGCTTGCGACATGCCTCAAATCTTGACTACAAGGCCAGAGCTTATAGGAGCCGAATTGCTAGACTACGGACGATGGCAATTGGGCTGCGTGGGTTTTGTTCATAAGCCCAAGCTGCTCACTTGGCCTAGTCCTGTCATTGTTGGTGTCGCTCTGCTATTCATCCTATGCCGTATTTCACCATATATATATATACGTATCTATAACAGCCAACTAACAAGCCCCTTCCCCCCAACCTTAGGCCAACCCTTCGACATAGTAAAAGTGCGCCTCCAGACAACCACGCAGTACAGCTCGGCCCTCAACGCCGCCACCTCCATCTACGCGCACGAGGGCCCGCTCGCCTTCTACAAGGGCACGCTGACGCCCCTCCTCGGCATCGGGGCGTGCGTGTCGATCCAGTTCGGCGCCTTCGGGTACGCGCGGCGGTACTTCGAGTCGGTGAACGCGGGGCGTTCACTCTCCCCCTCCCCCTCCTCCGCCTCTGCCTCGGCCCCGCCTCCCCTCAGCTACGGCCAGTACTACGCGGCGGGCGCCTTCGCGGGCGTGGCCAACAGCGTGATATCGGGGCCGATCGAGCACGTGCGGATCCGGCTGCAGACGCAGCCGCACGGGGCGTCGCGGCTGTACGCGGGCCCGCTGGACTGCGTGCGCAAGCTGTCGGCGCGCGGCGGCGTGCTCGGCGGCCTCTACCGCGGCGAGGCCGTGACCGTCCTGCGCGAGGCCCAGGCCTACGGCGTCTGGTTCCTCGCCTTCGAGTGGATGATGAACGCCGACGCCGCCCGCAACCGCGTCGACCGCCGCGACGTCCCCAGCTACAAGGTCGCCCTCTACGGCGGCCTCGCCGGCGAGGCCCTCTGGCTCGGCAGCTACCCCTTCGACGTCGTCAAGAGCAAGATGCAGACCGACGGCTTCGGCAAGGACATGCGCTACCGCTCCATGCGCGACTGCTTCGCCCAGATCTGGCGTGCCGAGGGCGCCCGCGGCTTCTGGAAGGGCCTCGGCCCCACGCTGCTCAGGGCCATGCCCGTCAGCGCCGGCACCTTTGCCGTCGTCGAGGCGACGATGCGTGCGATTAGTTAGGATGTATTAGTTGAGTGACGACGGTGATCCTGGATTAATCAAGGGGGGTGATACAAGAATGAGACAGGATACCATAGAATAGAATGGTTGAAAAGGGGGCGGGTGGGCTCAGGCGTATACGTAGTTTGTTGCATACCAAACTACAGGCGTTCAACATTTTTTTGCATCCAATGACGACCTGGGTCGGAAGAATTCTTTAATTGATGGCTAGATGATTTAGATTTGGGTTGGCTTCCACGAGTTATTCAACAATAAGCATATTTTCTTTTTCTTCGAGGATGGTCTAGAACCTAGAGTGAGGGTATAATACATTTCGGCCGAGCGAGAGGCGAGAAATAAACCAACAGAAACCGTCTGCTTCTAATCACTATTCTCGACTCTCCTCTGCAGGATCTTTCTCGCGTTCGCTGGAGTCAGGGAGTCTAGTCCCAACTCAGCCAGGATCAATTTAGCTTCCGTATTGTCCGTGAAAATGCGATCGCTTGCCTGTTGGAGCGTAACGCCTCCGTTGCCGCTCTCAGCTTCCAACGGCAAGCTCAACAGTTGCGCGCCATCTTGTAGTGTGCCCATAATCAAGGAGCCATCCGGGATATGGCGATCGATTAGCGAGAATATAGTTTGCAGATCCCTCACAAACTGGGCAGCACCGAGGGTTGTGAAGTTCTGCCGCATGAGGACGTCCGCCCACAGCATATCCTGTAGTTTCTCGAGGGCTTCTCGCCATATGCGCCGATTTACTGCTGTGCTCAATGCGGAGGCCAAGAAAGTTAGATTTCGCTTGAGGATCTGGGACCTGTTAGCCGAGTGTTCAGCAAAATCGGTGTGTGAACATACCCTCAAAGGTTCGTCTAGTTCTGCTGTTACGGCTAGATGGGAGGGATCAACTATTGAAGTCAGCATTCCGAATGATAATTAGTAGCTGGGGTTAGTAGACATACAATTGGGCTCACTACTGATTGTTGTCCACTGGGGTTTAGTGAGGTAAGGGCGAAATGCTTTCTGGTGCGAATCAATCAGGGCCGAGACGAGGTATTCTTCAGCTGTTCTGCGTCGGTGGCTGTAAGCTACAATGGTCTCGTCAAACAGGATACCGCCATCCCCATCCACACCGACCGCGGACGAGATGCGATCCTTGACGTTCTCTTGGCTCATGCCCCCGGCGAGGTTTTCTTGGTAGCTTCTCCTCTTCGCCCTCGTCTGAAGCTGTTCCCAGAGCGTCACAAAGAACTGCGCATACCGTTTAGTAATAATGGAGAGGAAAATCTTTTGGGACAAGACTAACCTCTTCGTTGCTCCAATCTTTCAGCGTAGCAACAATGTGATCAGAACTACCGAGCACCTTACAGAGTGTTTCGAAAGCACCTGTTCCTTCCAAAGCCGCCGCCTGTTCTTTCGTGACCCCGTGTAAAGTTCGGCCTAGAGTTGAAGTAATGGTATAGTAGGCATCTAGCGAATCTTTCAGGCGGTCGTGATAATTATCTAGAATTTCGAGCTGTATGTCGATGAGAAATCGGAGCTTGTGAGAGAACCTGTGGATCCGTTCGTACTGAGATGTTACGGACTTGAGTAAGTCTGTCACCCTCACAGCGCCAAATGTTGGTTTCATTTTACCACTACCACTGTAGTCGTAGTCGATGTTCCTGGCATCGGCCGAATTCATGATGACATGGAAGCGCTCGAGCGCAAAGTCTTTTTCAGCCTTGAGCCAGTCGTCAAAATGCTTATCGAGGACTTCAGCAGTCAAGCCTGCCCAGCCTCGCTCGGGATCACCGCCATCATAATTGAATTTTGTTCGTAGTTCGTCATCCAGGTTCATGAGCTGTACCATGAGACTACTCAAGAACTGGGGATTCTTTAAGCCGCGTTGCACCACCGCGCTAATCTTTTCCCTCATCACCGGAAGCAGGGCCGTGATCAAGGCACAAGCCGGATCCACGTAGACAGACATGTCGCCAACCCTGGTGTTGCGGAACCGCGATGCAAGAACATGGCCGACATTCTCCCGGAAGAAATTCTCCCACTTGTTAATGAGCGAAACGGACTGCGGGATGCAAAAAGTCCCAAATGCCTGAGGGTTGCTTGTCGCGGTATTGCTCATGAATTGGAACCGGAACCACTGAGAGAAGGCCCTGGTCATCACTTCGAAGGGCAGTAAAACAACAATGTCTTCGGAGTATAGAACCTCAGGTGCTTGTAAATCGATGAGCTTCTCGAAGCACTCCAGCCACTCGGCATCCATCTCGGCGTTCGGGTCGACTCCCTGGGGCCAATTACGCTTCTTGAGAATGCTCTCGAGCTCTTTAGACATGGTATCCTTCATTTCATTCCACAGGTTCGCCGTGATCCTTTCGACGTAGTCGACTAGATGTGTGGCGGCCTCGTCCGCAGGGCCTTGCAGCTCTCTCAACCGCATGGTTAGCTTCTTCAGCCTAGAATACGGCTCCAGCGCAGCTTTCGGACTCTGCGGCAGATGCGATCGTGCTTCCAGGCGCATGCTCTCGACATCTTGTAGTAGCGACACATAATGGTATGCTAGCTCAACCTTGTGCAGCTGCTTCATCGGTTGTTCGAGCCGTCGTATCGCCTCGTCGGGGGCGCTAGAGTTCGCAACGACCTGCATGCGCGCATCGATGCTCTGCTGGAGGATCTCGAACTCCTCTATGGACTTGGCAAGGCCACCCTGGCGGTCTCTGGCAGAGCGACGAGCATCTTCGAGCTCTCTGGTGGCATCGTCGAGTTGGGACTGGAGTTGGCTGCGTTGGACTTCGACGTTTGCGAGCAAGCTATCTAGATTCTCGAAATCTGTAGTCGACTGAAGCTTGTCATCGAGGTAGTCTTCCAGCCGAATATCGGGCTCCGCGGAGTAGTTGCGCGGGAATATATTAGTTGCCATATTTGCGGTGCGTTGAAAGGGTATTGATTCTTATCGGTGGCCAGCTCCAGCTTCAGCACAGCTGGCAGCAATGTGGTTCGATATGCATTGAATGGGGTATGCACTATCCGAGTTTCTATACTAAGGTGGAATACCTACCTATGCGGGGTCTAGGACGGGCAGAGGCTCTTTGGAGTAGACCCACTCCGAGCCTACCCCACTTTGGGGAGCGACACCAATTGCCTTATCACAATCCAGGCCAAACCCACCAACTAGCCTGCGGGATTTTCAATCACAAAACATGTACGCAAACAAAGAATCACTAAACCAATCAGTGGTGAGATGGCCGAGTTGGTTATGGCGTATGGTTAAGGTTCTGCAAGCTTAACATTAATTCCATATGGAGCAATCCGCGTGGGTTCGAGTCCCACTCTCATCAGCATTCCTTTTTGATCCAATTCCGTTTGGTGATACTTTTTTGTTTGATGCCACATGCTTACATTCCCGTCAGTTGTCTCTTTAGCCCCGCACGAGGCTCCAGGAGATTCCTCTCTTTGAGAGATATATGTGTAAGTATAACAACCTGGTTGCAGTAAACAATGCTTTTTAATATTGGCTATTGCTAGTTAATGGAAGTGGTATATGAATAAGCTTGACAAGTTGTCCGTAGAGTGAGACAGCAATATTTTCTCAAACTCCTAGGAAACTAACATGTTGTAAGGAAGTATGTCCCTGGGTAGTCTTGAGGCGTGGGATGATATCATGAGCCTCCCACGCTTTGAATGTTTCCCCAAATACCCCGATCGATTAATTCACCAAAGTCATGTCCTGCCAGCCACTGAGGCTCTATTCCGCTATCTGTTCACGTCGATCTTTAGTCGCACTGGGGAGTCAAGCTTTGCGGGAATGACGACATTAGGAGAAGGCATTCTTAGATCCGACACCTAATAAGCAGAATACCGTGGTCCAATGGGAGTGCTCTCGGTTATCGTGAGAAGAAGATATATTCGAAAGAGGAAACTTAATGATGTGACCACCGAGAGCAATAAAACATTCCATCATCACCCCATCTCAGCAGGAAGATTGCTCTTCCTCTGTGTTTGAAGTTTGAGTATTTAACTCAGATTCGACTCTGGGTTTCTTGCCATGACAACCGACTGAGCTTGATAAAAACCACTGATTGTTACTCACACAATCTATACAGCACATCCAAGTCCGACAAATCAATCATGGGGGAGGATGAACGTCCTAGATCTTTCGGCATCGGAGGTGCTGGGAATATCCGTATGCATCGGTACCTGATGGGTGGTAAGACATTTACGAACAATAGTCCACTAATAAAACCAAACCATTCAGGAACACGAACAGAGGCTATGGTCCACGACATCATCCCGCTACACGACCAACACCGCCGCCGAAGAAGCAGCCTCTGGAGTTTAGGCTCGAGCTCGAATAGCAATGGGGAAAGCCGGTCTTTTAAACTACCTGGGGGCTTCAAGAATGTGTTTGGCGGTTCAAGCAGGAAGTCGGTTTCAGACACAACCAAGTGAATACCTACATGTCTCTCTGCATTTGGTTTGGTACATACTGCTGGGTATGGGGATGTGAGATAGGGACTGGTGCTTCTGGCTAGGGATAGTTCGAATAAGCCCCTTATACAGGCATAGGACTAACCCCGAAAAATAATTATCATATTTATTAATGACATTACATCACATATCTGAAATACAGGTTTTCCTTATCAGACAGATCTTGGAAAGCTAGCTTGGCTCGTTCAGCCTCGTCTTCAACCACTGCAGCTTCTTTTTTATGGTTTTCGTAGCGTAGGACGAAGAGCAGTGCGACCGACGCAACTATTGTGATGCAATAGCTGGGGAGATATGTTAATCAGACCGAGCTGGGAAGAAAAGAGGGGAGGGGAGACAGGGTGGGGGGATGGAAATCAAACACCAACCATATTATTAGACCAAGCCACAGCTCCGGATAATGATATACCTTCGTCTGAGACTTGATCAATTGCGGCCCAATGATATTACCTGGGATATGCTGTTAGAGATATGAAGTATAAGTCGGTAGGAACTACCAACGTACCGACACAGTATGCCACGAATATCGTTGCCGAGGTGAAGCTCTTTTTCGTATGCCCGGCCACATTGGACATCCCAAGCGTAATAACCAGACTCACGACTGCGCCGAAGGTACCCGTAATGCTATACCCGACTACGGGCGCCGCGGCGCGATACGTCCAGTCACATTTCCATATTAAGGCGCAGCCGGCGATCACAGGGAGGCAGCACACGACCAGCATCAGGATGCGGATGTCCTGGTATCGCGACCCGAGCCAGCCTGTCAGGAGGATGGCGATCAAGCACAGACCGCCGAGGGGAAACTGAAAGAGGATGGAGTCGAGCGTGCTCCAGCCGAACGTGGACACTATCAGGGGCCCGAAGCCCGACACCGCACCGTTGACCGTGTACGCCGACGCCATCATGACGGCGATGAGCCAGATCTTGACGTCAAGAAGGGCCTCCCTGAGCTGCCCGCCCTTGAATCTGGGACAGCGCACGCCGGTCTGCCCGTGACGCAGACGCTCGACGGCGGCGAAGCGCTCATCCGCGGTCAGGAACCAGGCAGACACGGGCGAGCTGGGCAGCGCGAAGCAGAGCAGGCCGAAGGCGAAGGTCAGGGCGCCGGCGAGCAGGTAGATGTACTGCCAGGGGCGGAGGCGGCCGCCGCGGACCTGCGCGAAGCCGTAGTTGAGCCCGCCGCCGGCGACGGTCCAGAGCCCCGTGGCCGAGAACCACCAGCTCTGGCGGAGCGCCTGCTCGCGCTGCGTGTAGAAGCCACTGACGATGCACATGAAGCCCGTGGGCACGGCGCTCTCGACGAAGCCGAGCGCGAAGCGCTGCGCGTACAGACCCTGGTGCGAGGTCACCGCTGCCGTGAGCATGCACACGAGCGCCCAGAGGCACACGACGGGACCCAGCACCCGGCCCGTCCCGAACCGCTGCTGTAGGTACGACATCGGGTATAGCCCCGCTAGCATGCCGAAGTAGAAAATTGACGTTGCCCAGCTGAGGCGCGAGGTGTCGACCGCGGAGGGGCCGTTCGGGCCATCAGGCGCTACGACGACGCTCAGTTGCAGGTCGGTCGTCATGCCGAAGAGAACAGCCGATCCCAGGATCGCCTGGAGAAGAAGTGAGTTCCCATCATGCAACAGCAGAGGGGGATCAGGTAGCACAGTGCATTTTGCGGCTCTGCTCCTTTCTTTACCTTGTCATAGTACACAAGTCCATCTTTGGAAGCAGATAGGGGGGATCACTGGTTAGCCCACACACCCTACTTTCTACGTGGATCACACTCCTGCCAGGAGAGAAGCCCAGAAGATTGAACTTACACCCCACAGTCATAACCGGGATGAGAAACCAGTCCATCTTGCGCACGGCGCGCGCGACGACGACGGGGTTGACGACGTGGCGCTCCTCGCCGACCATGGCGATGGCGACATCCTTGTCCCCGACAGCCTGTTCTCCTTCTCCTTTCCCCTCCTCTCCAGCGTTCCGCGGCTGTGGCGGCGCAGTCATTGCGTCCCCGCAGGACTTTGCTTCATCTGCCATTTCCCCCCTATTGATTGGCAATCGGGCAGTCCTGGCTTCTGGACTCAGCTTTCAGCGAGGTGGAGAATTGGGGATCTGGAACAGAACCCCCACGTTAATTGGAAAAAAAAAAAAGGAAAAGAAAAGAAAAGATCTCGTGATTTTTCTGCCCCGTAGGCTGTAGTGCTATTCGCGCTAGTATGCATACTATTAGACAGAAATAAAAACGGCTGAATCCCGCTATATCTCGTATCTAGGGCTAGACAGATATTTTGGATTGCCCGATTGGTCATGTGATACCCCACGATGTGACAATTTATAATACAATTGCTCGCAGCACCATCTTCTATGGAGAATATTCCTAGGCTGTTACCCCCGATCGTAAATAGGCTATCTTAAAGCAGCCTTCCTCCTGTCTTTCGCACGAGTACGTCCAATTGGATAGTGACGGGAGATATTTGGTTGAAGAACGAAAAGCAGGTCTTAACCTAGGTTGATTAGTTAACCAACAGCGTCATATGTTCTCGATCTTACCTAAGATGAGATGGCGCGGACTTGGCAACATTGTTTTCCCTGCCGGACCCTGGACTAGAAGGTATTCCACAGGGGCCGTTGGCACACAACTCTATTCGCCGACTAAGAGTTGCTTAGAGGAGATGTCGCTGATAACTCGTTTTTAATCTACAGCAATACACACAAGCCATAGAGTATTATGCAGATGACAAGCATATATTTAACCATGGTTCTAAGTCTGGATTAACGATCTTACATATTCTACGAGCCACTTGAAATTCTCTCACTAAAAGCATGCCAGATCGCTAACCACATCTTATCGTGACAAGATTAGCCCCTTGTAAATACTGTTCCATCGAAGATAGTTACTCTTTGAAACCATAGTGAGAATACCTTGAAATCTCTTTAAGGAGCGTTGTATTGTAATCATTCTAAACTAACCCCGATCCACTGTTACCCGTAAAATCAAGAAACCCAAGTACGTGACCTACTTGTGAAGTCAGACTGATAGATGTAAAAAGAGGGTTTGTCACACTTGTGTGATATAATGACCTTGTTTCCTAACCCATCGAACCGCGAGGACATATTAATATATGCCGCTAAGCATGTCCCTCGTAAGTCGAAGCTTATCCATCACTTGTTCCTTATATAGAACCCCCAACCTGAATTTGATGGAGGCGTGGTTCTCTCCTTTGTATGCTGGAGTTTCTAGCTTAGTAGCGTTGAGGCATAAGACCACAATATCGTGGTACGAATCGCCGAATTTCCGAGCAACCTTTGATAGGTATTCCGAACCACCCGAAGTTGCGTTATGAGGTGATCCGCTGTGATAATCTGAGCTCCCCAGCAGTTTCTCTCGTATGCCTCGTAGTTCAGCGGGTCGGATTGTCATCAGATCCTCAATCCCCAAGATAGCCTCTATTGGCTTCCACAAGGCAATCTCTATAAGAACTATGCCTAAGCTGTACATATCGTGGGATTTGAGGTAGCAATTTTTCGCCTCGCCGAATTGAACGTAGGGATGTCGGTAAATATCGTTCAGTGGGTCAAATAGGGGCTTCTCAGTCATCTCGAGCTCATCGCTTGGGCGGGAAAGATCATAGCCCGTGATATACGGCATACCAAGACTTCCCTCATCTGTTACCGAGCCAAAGAATAGAACGTTATCACTTTTTATACCCTTGTGTAACCAATCGACTGCATGAAAGCTGAAAAGACAATCTGCCAGAGCGCTGCAAAGCGATATCCTCGCCGTAATTGAAGGTTTTGGCCGATTATCCAGTAGTTGGCGAAGGGTGGTCAATGTTGTTTCTGCTTTGTTTCCAGATGA